CGGGGAGCATAGGGTTATGTAGGGTAGTGTAGCGAAGGGGAGTGTAGAGTAGGATAGGGAAGGGGAGTGTAGCAGAGTGTAGGGACAGGGAGCATAGGGGAGGAGAGGGGAGGCGAGGGGAGGGGAGTGGAGGGGAGGGGAGGGGAGGCAAAAAAGGGGAGGGGAGGGGAAGCAAAAGAGGGGAGGGGGAGGGGGAGGCAAAAGAGCGGAGGGGAGGGGAAGCAAAAGAGGGGAGGGGAGGGGAGGGGAGGCAAAAGAGGGGAGGGGAGGGGAGTGCTACCATAAATAAAGTTGCCAAATACATGACATTTTGGATCTGGAGCCAAATATTTGTGTTGCTGAAGGGATGCAAGACACAGACTCCTGATGGCTCTTGAACAGGAGGCGTTTATTGCCCTTTTTCACTCCTACATGTCCTCTCCCCGTAGCCCCACGTGCTGTCCACGCGCCCGAATCTATCCCACAGTTGGTCAGAGACCCTCAGGCACGTGCCTGGAGCCAGCCAGCAATTGCCCACTGCCCAAAGGTCCTCTTTAACACTGTAGCCAATTCTGGATCTCAGCCTTGCTCAAGTTTTTGTTTCTCCCGCTTGTTTCCTCATTACCTCTAATTCAGGGACCTGTGAAGCAGCGCGAAGCCACCTGAAAATTCCCTCCCCACGCGTTGCCATTCATTCCACAACCTGATTTATCGCTGCCATCCGCGCCTTGCACAGTGCCATGAAAGGTTTGGCCTGCACAGAGCTGGCTGAGGATTTTCAGATATAACTTGCCTTAAGAACTGCATCGAGACTTTTGCTGGAAGGCAAAAGATCGGGTGATTGATTAACATAGGGATGGCAGCTGAGCAAGGGAAGCATCTTCCAGACTTCCAAATATTGCCTGTAGACAGAACTACAACTCCTCTGCTCTGCGGTTAGGAGTTTCCGTCACCTGCTTAGGAAGCAGAAGCAGTAACATGGGATTTAGAGGATCCAGCTGAAGCATCAGTGCCAGTTAGAGGAAACCAGTTAGAGGGTTTGAAGAGAGTTTGACCGGTTTTCCAAGGAACATGTACTAGTGCTGCATCTATATGCATAGAAATATCTCTACAGCTGGCTTGTATCAGACATAGAGTGGCCCTCAGGACTAGGGAAGCGGTTGTCCCTCTGTGCTTGGCTCTGGTGAGGCCGCACCTCGAGCACTGTGTTCAGCGAAGACCTCGAGGTGCTGGAGCGTGTGCGGAGAAGGGCTCTGAAGCTTGTGAAGGGTTTCGAGAACAAGTCTGGTGAGGAGCGGCTGAGGGAGCTGGGGTTGTTCAGCCTGGAGGAAAGGAGGCTCAGGGGAGACCTTCCTGTGCTCTACAGGAAGCTTCAAGGAGGCTCCAGAGAGGTGGGGATCGTTCTCTTCTCCCAAGCCCCAAGTGACAAGACAAGAACAAAACCCCTTAGGTTGTACCAGGGGAGGTTTTGGTTGGTTATTGCGAAAAATTTCTTCACCGAAAGAGTTGCTCTGGTGGGTTTATGTGGCAAGGTTTTGGTAGCAGGGGGCCATAGGGGTGGCTTCCGTGAGAAGAATCTAGAAGCTGCCCCACGTTAGAGAAGGGCTCCCTGCTGGCCAGAGCCAAGCCAAGAAACGATGTCGCTTGTTCCTCTGTGAGAGCATATTGAAGAAGGAGAACAAAAATAACAAAACAAAAGCTGCTTCACAGGGAGAGAAAGAGAGGAGAAGCAGCCCTGCAGCCCCCCAGGGGAGTGCAGCAGGAGGCGCAGCAGCAGTTCCCCTGCAGGCTGTGCAGGGAGAGGCCCCCGGTGGAGCAGGCTGTCCCCCTGCAGCCCATGGGTCCCCCACGGAGCAGATCTCCACGCTGCAGCCCCCCCGTGGGTGGAGGAGCCCCCGGTGGAGCAGGTGGATGTGGCCTGGAGGAGGCTGCGGCCCATGGAGAGCCCCCGCAGGAGCAGGCCCCGGGCCGCAGCTGCAGCCCCCCCGTGGAGAGGAGCCCCCGCAGGAGCAGGGGCTCTGGGGGGAGCTGCCGCCCAGCCGTGGGGGACCCGTGCTGGAGCAGTTTGCTCCTGGGGGATGGATGGATGGAGCCCGTGGGACGGAGCCGTGTGGGAGCAGTGCTTGAGGAGCTGCTGCCTGTGGGCAGCCCGTGTGGGATCAGCTGGGGAAGGACGGCATCCCGTGGGAGGGACCCCATGGGAACAGGGGCAGGGAGGGAGCGAGAAGGAGCGGCGGGGACAAAGCTTCAGGGACTGAGCGCAGCCCTCAGTCCCCTGTTTCCCTGCGCTGCTCAGGAGGAGGAGCTGGAAGAGGGCAGATGGGAGAAGACGTTTTGGGTTTCTTTCCTTTGTTTCTCACGTGTCTAGTTTGTTGGTAGTAGGCAATAACTCTTACTATCTCCCTACGCTGAGTCTGCTTTCCCCTTTACAATAATTGTTGAGCATTCTCCCCGTCCTTATCTCAGCCCTTGAGCCCTTTGCATGGTATTTTCTCCCCCTTTCCCTTGAGGAGGGGGAGTGAGAGAGCGGTCGTGGTGGAACTCGGCTGCCCCACCCGATTCAGACCAGTGCAGTTGCAAAGGACTGGAAAAGTTTTCCGAAGAAACAAGATGTTTAACAAGGAATGCATAGTTTCCTTATTAAGGCTTCCCTGGATAATTGTTTTTTTTTTCCTATCCCAAATCAGAGGAAGGGAATTGTTGATTTCACCTTCTTTTTCTTACATGGAAATAAAAGGTGAAACTGCTCTACAAGTACGGGCAAGGTATCAGAATCAAGCTCTTTTGGTCTGTAGTCCTTTCTCAAGGAACAGATTGATCACACACCTTCCACAGATGTAGGGGAGCAGGGAATAAGTTTTGAACTACCCTAATTCAAGTCAGTTTGGGCATAGTGGTACTTCTCTGGCTGTTTCTGAGACATACGCGTTAGCAACAGAGAGTGTTGTGCCGTCACTGGGAGGCCGCCTGCGGTGGTGACTTCAGAAACAGACCTGAATGATGTCACCACAGCACTTTGGGAACAGCTGCCTCTGTGCACGTTTAGCCGGGAGGACAAGAGAAGGGTGCTGGATGTGTTGAAACCACGTGAGGATTTGTGGATCCCACCTTGAGGTGCACAGAGAGGGCCCATGCCCTTCTGTAAGTGTTTTGATGCTTGGCTGGGGGAAAACAGTGTGGTTTTGTTGTGAATGCTTCATTTTAGTATTCTGTAGTTTGTGTAAAGCCCTAGAGAAGCATCAAGTTTGGTACTTTGCTCAATGATGGAGCTGCACAGAGTGAGAACAGACCCAATGTACGGGTGAGGGCCTCTGCACGTTCTCTTCTTCCTACAGACGATCAACAAATAAGGGGAGACAGAGAAGAGTGGTGCTGTGGTCCTCCCATAGACCGCAAGTCCTAAAGCATAAACAAGAGGCTTAAGAGTACCCCTGTCATGTTAAAATTCAGGACAGCAATGGACTGCACCACATGGGCTGGCCTGTCGAGTAGTGTCTCAGGCTGTGGTGTATGAAGAGGCACTCCATCTGCTTTCAGGGTAGCAATTGCAGTGGGCAAGCTGCCTGACCTGAACATTGTTCATTCCATTTTTCACCTGAGTTTTGCTGGTTTCCCACGATTCACTCGTAGTCTAGAAAAAAAGAAGAAAAAAAAAAAGAAATTAAAAAAAAAGGGAATTGGGATCAAAATAAGAGGATTTCCTTTCCATTAATTCCATGTTCTTAACTTGACAGATTTGGTTATTGACTTGGAAGGCAAATATCTGGCCAGACTGCAAGACTTGTGCTCGCAGCGTGGGACAGCTCTCGTAAGGTGATTCAGGGTAGCTTCTGGAGAAACAAGACGTCAGATCTCCAAACAGCTTCCTTTGTGCTAATGTAGGAAGGGCGAGTAAGAGTAAAGGTAAGAGTCCAGGTACCATAAGAAGCGGAAAGTGTGAAGGAAACTTCCTTCTGGCTGATACAGCTCCATATCTAGTTGTCAAGTATGAAGAGAGCAGTCTAAGTTTCTTGGGGAGAGGAAAACAAAGAGACGGGAGATTGGTACAAGAAAAAATGGGATTCTATTTCAGGAAATCCTAGTAACTGGAAATAAGAGATTGGAAGAGTGCTTTAAGCCAAGACAGAAACTTTTCAAAACTAAACCTAGGAGTTGGATGAACCAAGAAATGAATCCATTTTGATTATGCAGTTGTGTCCAGTGTTATCTTGGGAAATATGGTTTCCACATAAAATGTATCTGGGGCTTGAAGTTTTCCTAAGCCCTTCTCTGTGTATTCCCTACTGTTTGGTAAGCGCTGAGGTCACACTGCAGACAGCAGCACGTCCTCTCCCCACTACTCAGCTGTCTGTTTTCACAACATCTCTAGCAACAGAATGGCTTGGACACAACTGCGCCTAGGACCGAGTTCATTCAAGCTGGTGGACAAGGTAAAAGCTCTGGACAAGCGAAGGGGAGGGAGGGATGGGATGGACATACAATATGATCGCTTTAATCTCATTTCTCTAAGAACCTTGCTGAGAAAACAAAACAAAAGAATCAAACGAACAGACAGAACGAATGAAGCAAGCAGCTAGCTTGCTGGAGACATTGTCTGGGAAACAGTGAAAACACTTGCAGACAAAAAACATACCAAAGGACTAACTCTTTGAGCTTAATTCTAATCAAACAGCATAACCTCAAAGTCCTGTTTCTGTTCATCACAGGCTGGTACAGTAACATGGCGCATTTGATGACTTTGCAGCATAGATGTCAGGAGTGCAGCTTGGGATCACCTCCTTCTACTGAGAGTTCAGTTTGAAGGGATGAGCAAGTAATTTTTCCTGGGTGGACGGAAATCTAAAGTCTGTTTTCTAACACTCTTACAGACACTTCTCTGTCCATCGGCCTGTCCTGCCAACTCTGGTGTGAGTGTGAAGTTGTGGCAAGAGGGGTTTCCCGTTCCTATTTGACCTGGTGGACACCAGCTTTCCTAGGAAATTGCTGATGTTGCTGAGGAGGCAGCAGTATCAAAGCCCTCGATTCTGAAAGCAGCAAAGCAAGCTAGAGGAAAACGGTATGTCCGGATAATTTTCTTTCTTTTTATTTTTTTCATTCTTCACTTGTAAGAAAATCTAAGTCTTTAAACCATTTGTTTGAAAACACAGCTTTATGGAAATGCGTGTGGGTGTGCTCCTTCCCCTTGTTTGGAACCTGCTTCACCTCGCTTCAGCTAGAGGACACCTATGCTCGAATTTATGCTTCCCATGAGAAAGCGGCGTTCTTTCGCTGTTCTCTTCTGTGATGGTTGCAGGTGAGGTTGAAAAGAGTTGTCAGTACGATTCTTCGTTTCCTTTGCAGTATCCAAAACTCCGTATCACAGCGGATCTTCTCCTCTGATCTGAAAAGCTTCACAGGCCAAAAGAGAATTGAGATGAAGAAGGAAATAGAGAATGCTGACCAGTATTTCCAATTACCACCCGTAAGTGTTGTGAAAGAATCCGGTGCATTTCTGTAGTGGTAGAAAGTTAATAAAGTCATGATTGTGCGCTTGAAGGCAAGCAATGCTATAAAAAACGAAGAATGCAAGGCCCTGCTTAAGGACAGTCTTCAGGCTGCTTCTCGATCAACAGCTCATTTGGTTGTTCCACAACCTCATCTCCGCTTGCTTAGAAGTTGTGAAGGTCGGAAGCGCACTCCGTGGTTTTCATCCCCTCTGTGTATCTTTTCCCTGACAGCAACTTCTGTCTTGGCTCTTCACATCCAGCCAGAGCAGTTTCTTTGCCTCCGCAACCTGCAGGCTGTCCTCTCGTGTGTACCTGTGGTGGACTGAGGGTAATGCTTGTAACGCACAGATGCTGTATTCACTAGCACTTTGAGAAAAGAGAGCAAGAAGCTAACCTGCGCAGCAGTTTCTTAGGTTTCTGGATATCTATCTATCTATCTCTCTGCGCATATATTTCATTACTTATTTACTTATTTAAAGATCCTTTACATATAGTAGATCCTTTAAGAAAGCTTACTTGTCCTTCTCCTTTACTTGTTTTGAACGTTTACTTTTCTAACCAATCCTTAATGTTACAACATTGGATTTATTTAGTTCTCAGTCCTCAGAAGTTCTCAAAGCACATCAGTGATTTCTCTAGTTCTCAATCTTTCCATCTGCATTGAGACCTCTTATCTCAATTTAGGTATTAGGTGAAGAAGAACACTGCAACCAGCTGAAGCCGTATCAGCATAGATGCTTCTGTGCTAGGAAGTAATTCAGAGTGCTTCCATGGTGTACTTTAGACAGATTTCCTCTGGTCCTCTGGACTCAGCATCCCCAAGGGATATTTCAAAGCTCTCTGAAGGACCCGTCATTATCTCTGACACTGCAGTCTCCATTAGGAAGGGGTAAATAGTCCTTGCCCTTGTGCAAAGGAACTACTCAGTTAGCTGTTTCTAACCCAAATCTCTTTGTTGTCTTCTATTGACAGACACCACCCGGCTAGCCAAGCTAAACCATTGAAAATGGAAGGAGTGGGACATCTTCAAAAGCCTGCTGCTGCTTCTAAGCAGAACTGCGCTGTAGGTGGGGACACAGCAAGAGGACACGTCCAGGCCACGGTGGAACTGCAAGGCACCTGTCTAAGCCACAGAAGGAAGTCAGCGCTTCCCAGTTGGAGACTGTTGCTCGCCTAGGGACACAGCAGCTGGAGCGCTTCTGGTTGCTGCTGATGGGTTCCCGTGAATCAGCCAGGGATAGCAGCTATGAGAACGACTGAAGCAATCTGAAGATACCTGAAAGAAAGAAAAGAGGAGAGAAGAAGACAAGAGGGGAGGGAAGGGGAGGGAATAAAAGGAAGGGAGGGGAGGGAGGGAAGGGGAGGGAAGGGAGGGAGGGAAGGGAGGAAGGGGAGGGGAGGAAAGGGGGCAGGGGAGAGGGAGGAGGGTAGGATAGGGTAGTGTAGCATAGCATAGCGTAGGGTAGCGTAGCGTAGTGTAGTGGGTAGAGGGGAGGGGAGCGTAGGAGAGTATAGGGTAGTGTAGGGGAGCGGAGTTTAGGGGAGTGTAGGGTAGGATAGGGGAGGGGAGCGTCAGGGAGCATAGGGGAGGGAGCATAGGGTAATGTAGGGTAGTGTAGCGAAGGGGAGTGTAGGGTAGGATAGGGGAGGGAGTGTAGCAGAGTGTAGGGACAGGGAGCATAGGGAGGGGAGGGCAGGGGAGGGGAGGGCAGGAGAGGGTAGGATAGTGTAGGGGAGGTTAGGGGAGGGTAGGATAGGGTAGTGTAGCATAGCATAGCATAGCGTAGGGTAGCATAGCGTAGCGTAGCATAGTGTAGCGTGGTAGAGGGGAGGGGAGCGTAGGAGAGTATAGGGTAGTGTAGGGGAGCGGAGTTTAGGGGAGTGTAGGGTAGGATAGCGGAGGGGAGTGTAGGGGTGTGTAGGGTAGTATAGGGGAGGGGAGTGTAGCAGAGTGTAGGGACAGGGAGCATAGGGGAGGGGAGCGTAGGGGAGGGGAGCGTAGGGAAGCATAGGGGAGGGAGGGGAGGGAAGGGAGGGAGGCAGGGCAGGGGAGGGCCAGGGAGGGAGGGCAGGGGAAGATAGTGTAGGGGAGGTTAGGGGAGGGTAGGATAGGGTAGTGTAGCATAGCATAGCATAGCGTAGTGTAGCGTGTTAGAGGGGAGGGGAGCGTAGGAGAGTATAGGGTAGTGTAGGGGAGCGAAGTTTAGGGGAGTGGAGGGTAGGATAAGGGAGGGAGCATAGGAGAGTATAGGGTAGTGTAGGGGAGCGGAGTTTAGGGGAGTGTAGGTAGGATATGGGAGGGGAGCGTAGGAGAGCGTAGGGGCGGGGAGCATAGGGTAATGTAGGGTAGTGTAGCGAAGGGGAGTGTAGAGTAGGATAGGGAAGGGGAGTGTAGCAGAGTGTAGGGACAGGGAGCATAGGGGAGGAGAGGGAGGCGAGGGGAGGGGAGTGGAGGGAGGGGAGGGGAGGCAAAAAGGGGAGGGGAGGGGAAGCAAAAGAGGGGAGGGGAGGGGAGGCAAAAGAGCGGAGGGGAGGGGAAGCAAAAGAGGAGGAGGGGAGGGAGGCAAAAGAGGGAGGGGAGGGGAGTGCTACCATAAATAAAGTTGCCAAATACATGACATTTTGGATCTGGAGCCAAATATTTGTGTTGCTGAAGGGATGCAAGACACAGACTCCTGATGGCTCTTGAACAGGAGGCGTTTATTGCCCTTTTTCACTCCTACATGTCCTCTCCCCGTAGCCCCACGTGCTGTCCACGCGCCCGAATCTATCCCACAGTTGGTCAGAGACCCTCAGCACGTGCCTGGAGCCAGCCAGCAATTGCCCACTGCCCAAAGGTCCTCTTTAACACTGTAGCCAATTCTGGATCTCAGCCTTGCTCAAGTTTTTGTTTCTCCCGCTTGTTTCCTCATTACCTCTAATTCAGGGACCTGTGAAGCAGCGCGAAGCCACCTGAAAATTCCCTCCCACACGTTGCCATTCATTCCACAACCTGATTTATCGCTGCCATCCGCGCCTTGCACAGTGCCATGAAAGGTTTGGCCTGCACAGAGCTGGCTGAGGATTTTCAGATATAACTTGCCTTAAGAACTGCATCGAGACTTTTGCTGGAAGGCAAAAGATCGGGTGATTGATTAACATAGGGATGGCAGCTGAGCAAGGGAAGCATCTTCCAGACTTCCAAATATTGCCTGTAGACAGAACTACAACTCCTCTGCTCTGCGGTTAGGAGTTTCCGTCACCTGCTTAGGAAGCAGAAGCAGTAACATGGGATTTAGAGGATCCAGCTGAAGCGTCAGTGCCAGTTAGAGGAAACCATCAGTTACGGGGTTTGAAGAGAGTTTGACCGGTTTTCCAAGGAACATGTACTAGTGCTGCATATATATGCATAAAATATCTCTACAGCTGGCTTGTATCAGACATAGAGTGGCCCTCAGGACTAGGGAAGCGGTTGTCCCTCTGTGCTCGGCTCTGGTGAGGCCGCACCTCGAGCACTGTGTTCAGCGAAGACCTCGAGGTGCTGGAGCGTGTGCGGAGAAGGGCTCTGAAGCTTGTGAAGGGTTTCGAGAACAAGTCTGGTGAGGAGCGGCTGAGGGAGCTGGGTTGTTCAGCCTGGAGAAAAGGAGGCTCAGGGGAGACCTTCCTGTGCTCTACAGGAAGCTTCAAGGAGGCTCCAGAGAGGTGGGGATCGTTCTCTTCTCCCAAGCCCCAAGTGACAAGACAAGAACAAAACCCCTTAGGTTGTACCAGGGGAGGTTTGGTTGGTTATTCGAAAAATTTCTTCACCGAAAGAGTTGCTCTGGTGGGTTTACGTGGCAAGGTTTTGGTAGCAGGGGGCCATAGGGGTGGCTTCCGTGAGAAGAATCTAGAAGCTGCCCCCCGTTAGAGAAGGGCTCCCTGCTGGCCAGAGCCAAGCCAAGAAACGATGTCGCTTGTTCCTCTGTGAGAGCATATTGAAGAAAGGAGAACAAAAATAACAAAAAAAAGCTGCTTCCAGGGAGAAAGAGAGGAGAAGCAGCCCTGCAGCCCCCCAGGGGAGTGCAGCAGGAGGCAGCAGCAGTTCCCCTGCGGGCTGTGCAGGGAGAGGCCCCCGGTGGAGCAGGCTGTCCCCCTGCAGCCCATGGGTCCCCCACGGAGCAGATCTCCACGCTGCAGCCCCCCCGTGGGTGGAGGAGCCCCCGGTGGAGCAGGTGGATGTGGCCTGGAGGAGGCTGCGGCCCATGGAGAGCCCCCGCAGGAGCAGGCCCCGGGCCGCAGCTGCAGCCCCCCCGTGGAGAGGAGCCCCCGCAGGAGCAGGGGTCTGGGGGGAGCTGCCGCCCAGCCGTGGGGGACCCGTGCTGGAGCAGTTTGCTCCTGGGGATGGATGGATGGAGCCCGTGGGACGGAGCCGTGTGGGAGCAGTGCTTGAGGAGCTGCTGCCTGTGGGCAGCCCGTGTGGGATCAGCTGGGGAAGGACGGCATCCCGTGGGAGGGACCCCATGGGAACAGGGGCAGGGAGGGAGCGAGAAGGAGCGGCGGGGACAAAGCTTCAGGGACTGACCGCAGCCCTCAGTCCCCTGTTTCCCTGCGCTGCTCAGGAGGAGGAGTGGAAGAGGGCAGATGGGGAGAAGACGTTTTGGGTTTCTTTCCTTTGTTTCTCACGTGTCTAGTTTGTTGGTAGTAGGCAATAACTCTTACTATCTCCCTATGCTGAGTCTGCTTTCCCCTTTCAATAATTGTTGGCATCTCCCCGTCCTTATCTCAGCCCTTGAGCCCTTTGCATGGTATTTTCTCCCCCTTTCCCTTGAGGAGGGGGAGTGAGAGAGCGGTCGTGGTGGAACTCGGCTGCCCACCCGATTCAGACCAGCGCAGTTGCAAAGGACTGGAAAAGTTTTCCGAAAAACAAGATGTTTAACAAGGAATGCATAGTTTCCTTATTAAGGCTTCCTGGATAATTGTTTTTTTTTTTCCTATTCCCAAATCAGAGGAAGGGCATTGTTGATTTCACCTTCTTTTTTTCTTACATGGAAATAAAAAGGGTGAACTGCTCTACAAGTACGGGCAAGGTATCAGAAATCAAGCTCTTTGGTCTGTAGTCCTTTCTCAAGGAACAGATTGTCACACACCTTCCACAGATGTAGGGGAGCAGGGAATAATTTTTGAACTACCCTAATTCAAGTCAGTTTGGGCATAGTGGTACTTCTCTGGCGTTTCTGAGACATACGCGTTAGCAACAGAGAGTGTTGTGCCGTCACTGGGAGGCGCCTGCGGTGGTGACTTCAGAAACAGACCTGAATGATGTCACCACAGCACTTTGGGAACAGCTGCCTCTGTGCACGTTAGCCGGGAGGGACAGAGAAGGGTGCTGGATAGTGTTGAAACCACGTGAGGATTTGTGGATCCCACCTTGAGGTGCACAGAGGAGGGCCCATGCCCTTCTGTAAGTGTTTTGATGCTTGGCTGGGGAAAACAGTGTGGTTTTGTTGTGAATGCTTCATTTTAGTATTCTGTAGTTTGTGTAAAGCCCTTAGAGAAGCATCAAGTTTGGTACTTGCTCAATGATGGAGCTGCACAGAGTGAGAACAGACCCATGTACGGGTGAGGGCCTCTGCACGTTCTCTTCTTCCTACAGACGATCAACAAATAAGGGGAGACAGAGAAGAGTGGCTGTGGTCCTCCCATAGACCGCAAGTCCTAAAGCATAAACAAGAGGCTTAAGAGTACCCCTGTCATGTTAAAATTCAGGACAGCAATGGACTGCACCACATGGGCTGGCCTGTCGAGTAGTGTCTCAGGCTGTGGTGTATGAAGAGGCACTCCATCTGCTTTCAGGGTAGCAATTGCAGTGGGCAAGCTGCCTGACCTGAACATTGTTCATTCCATTTTTCACCTGAGTTTTGCTGGTTTCCCACGATTCACTCGTAGTCTAGAAAAAAAGAAGAAAAAAAAAAGAAATTAAAAAAAAAAGGGAATTGGGATCAAAATAAGAGGATTTCCTTTCCATTAATTCCATGTTCTTAACTTGACAGATTTGGTTATTGACTTGGAAGGCAAATATCTGGCCAGACTGCAAGACTTGTGCTCGCAGCGTGGGACAGCTCTCGTAAGGGTGATTCAGGGTAGCTTCTGGAGAACAAGACGTCAGATCTCCAAAACAGCTTCCTTTGTGCTAATGTAGGAAGGGCGAGTAAGAGTAAAGGTAAGAGTCCAGGTACCGTAAGAAGCGGAAAGTGTGAAGGAAACTTCCTTCTGGCTGATACAGCTCCATATCTAGTTGTCAAGTATGAAGAGAGCAGTTCTAAGTTTCTTGGGGAGAGGAAAACAAAGAGACG